AAAGAAAAAAACAGAAGAAAAGCTAGAAATTAAAGAGTTTATGAAGAGATAAATTATGAAGCAAGGTCCTAGAGAAGGTGTAAAAGTAAAATTCAGAGCATATTAAAGAGGTTAAAACCTTGGGAAGAAAAATGGACATGAAATACTTTTGATAAAACTAACTGGTATTTTTCTCCTATCAGTAATGTATTCAAGTATCTCTCCTTTCCCTTAACAAAATGGCATGACAGTCCCTGGTATATTCTTGTTTCTGCAAGCTATTCATTTGTTTTTGCTCTTTAGGTAACATATTTGTGGTTAATGTGAAGAGCTGCTTATTTTAGATGAAGCGTCCAATTAGAAGGCACATTTTATTGCATTTATTATACAGTATGTTCAGAAAATGAAAATGAGGGATAAAGGAGCTCACCTTGTGTTGTCAGTTATCCTACTATGTAATTAAAATTCTTACATATTTCTAATGCACTTAAATTTACCAGCATATCTCTGAATACATTCAGATAGGGGAGGGCAGGTAGCTGCAAGCTTAAAATTACCATTAGAAAATGTCTTCCACTAAGAAGGCAAAATCAATTATGGATTTGACTATCCAAAGGGAAATAATGCTAATAATTGAAATAACCATAGTTATCATTAAATAAAATATTCAGGCAAGGTAACTTTTTACAATAAATACACTTATGCTTTGTTATGAAATATTTCTATACAAAATACAAATCAGTAAAAACACTTTAGGTATTTGTCAGGTGCAGGTAGTACTGGGAAGTAAACACTAGACTTTCCAATGAGATTAGACATTTCTCAGCATTTCATCTGGTAAATACTGCATGTTAAATATTTACATTTTGATTATAATCAATTTCCGGAATCTGAACTATGAGCTAAGTTTACTTAACCTCCCATAGTCTCCAATACACATTCTTTACACATTCCCTTCCCTTTTCTCTGTTTATGGGAATTATGTACCATAGCTACCCTGCAGTTATGGAATGTCTAAGGTTTTTTTAATTCTGCATGACTGATTTATAGCATTACTTCCTAGAAATTAAACTGACGTTAGTGGAGCACAGAAGTAGTAAGTATATATGTATACACAAACACACACACACACAAACACACTTATGGACACACATATACATCAAATTGTAATTTTCAGAGTATTTTTTTTCTTTTATTGTTATTTTTTAATTGTTGCCTGTCCTAATTTTTCATAGAACAATTGATTTTCTGAAGGACTCCAATTTTTAAACTATCTTAAGAAAAATATTAATGGTTTGTCTTTGGAGGAAACCATCTTCATAGCACTACTTTTTCATGCTCCATGCATTAAAACAGTGATTCAGATTGTCCTAGCAACTAAGAAAAGATATTATTGTATTGTATTATATTATTTATGAGTGAAAATTCTATATTCATCTCTCCAGAGGTTTGCAAACTTTCTCTGTAAAATGCCATATTTTAAATATTTCAGGGTTTGTGAGCCATAAGATCTCTGTCTTTCAACTACTCAATATTGTCTTTGCAGCATGAAAACAGCCATACACTGTGTTTCAACAAAAGTATGGACACTGGAATTTGAATTATATAATTTCCATAAGTCATAAAACCATTATTCTCCTTTTGATTTTTTAGAACTGTAGTCCCCAGCCCCCTGACCATGGACCAATACCAGTGGGCACCACAAACAAGCCAGCAAAGCTTCATCTGTATTTACAGCTGCTCCCCATCGCTGACTGCACTATATAAGCAAACCCTACTGTAAACCGTGCATGCAAGGGATCTCCTTGTGAGAATCTAATGCCTGATGATCTGCGGTGGCCCTGAGGCAGTGAAGCTAGTGCTCGGGAGCTGCTGTAAATACAGATTACCATTAGCAGAGAGGTTTAACAGCACAGTAAATGTGCTTGAATCATACCAAAACCATCCCCCTGCCATCCCCAACTATAGAAAAATTGTCTTCCCTGAATCCAGTCCCTGGTGCCAAAAAGGTTGGGGACCGCTGTTTTAAAACATTTAAAAATGTAAAAACAAGTCTTAGCTGAACTATATAAAATAAGTAGTGTGATCAAAGGCCCATAGTTTGCCAACACTGTTTTAGCCAAATATTTTCCAAATTTATTTGAAGGTCAAAACATTGACTTATTACCTATTTATTGCAGTATTGACAAGTCTTAATAAAACTACAAAATTAGTGGAACCATTTATCTCTTTCAATTTTTAGTTTTCAAAACTAGCAGAGACATTTCCCTTTGTATATTTCAATATCATAACAATGTATTGATATTTACAAATGTGAACTTGGTATTGTAGTGGTCTTCCTATAATAAAATTGTTGTTGCCTTCTTTCTTTTGGTTTTTCTAAAGCTAGAAAAGAGCTAGCAATTACTAAATCCTAACTACAGTATCAGTCACTGGCATAGAAACTTCACATACATTCTCATTTAATATTTATTACAATCCTGTGAGTTGTATGTTATATAAATAAGAAAATGGGAACCTGGATATATTAAATAGCTTTCTTAAGGAATTTTAAAATAAATAATAATTAGCCTATACAACAGAATATGATGTTGTAAAGGATAGTTAATATAATGAGGGAAAGATTAATGATCTAATTTTAAATAAAATTCAGTATGTACATAATGATCTCTACTTATTCCTTCATTCATTGGTAAAATGAGTATAATTGTAGTACATCATTCATTGGTTTGAGATGACGATTAACTGAATTAGAACATATAAAGCAGTTATCACAGGGCATAGCATATAGCATTCATTAAACGTTAGTATTATTAATATTGTTTTGTTAAAAATAACATATATAGAAAAAAACTATATGGAAATAATTAAATATTATCTCCAGGTGCTAGGATGAATAGGTCATTTTCAATTTTCTTATTTAAAATCTATATTTGCTAATTTTTATGATAAATGTAGTATAATCAAGAATAATTAAAATAGTAAAAAATTGTCTAGCATAAGAAAAAGCCAGTAATCAAACATACAGGCATCTGATTCCTTTCATTGTACTACATTATATGTTTTTGGGTTTCATAATACCATGGAAATGAGAAAACTTTGCCTCTTGGAAACTTTCTTTAACCCAATTTAAAAAATATTTTTAAAAATCTGAATTGAATGGGCAATCCAGTGTTTTAATCAGGCATCTACCAGGTATCTACAAAATACTTTTATAGTTGCTTCTAAGCAGTTGAAAAAATTAAGTCTCTGTATGACAAATTTCCTGATTGCCAAGAAAGTCAATTACTAAATATTGCATTGGTAGAAAATCTTATATGTATTGATAATATACTGAAGTAAGTGATAAATAATCTATTGTTTTATATTTTTCTTATGATACCAAAAAGGCCTTTTTTCTCAATAACTTCACTTCTAACTCTGATTTCATATCTTGTTTCAAAAAGAAGACTTAGTGAAACATTATTATATTAGCCTTAATAGAAAGTTTATCAGTGGTATGATTCACTTCTAACTCATATATCCAAACTTATTTTTCCATACTTACTAGCCAAGGTTAACATTGAAAAGTACTTAATCCCTTGTGGCTCAGTTTTCTAACCTGTAAAATGGATTTAATAATAGAACCTATTTGGTATGGTTGTGATGAAAATTAAGTGAGCTTAATTAAGTGCATAAAGCACTTGGAACAATGGCTGGCACATACTAAGCATACAATAAATATGAAATATTATTAACCAATGTGTTGTTTACCCATTCTCCATTGTTCTTTTCTTCAATTACTTACTATTTTTTAAGCAGCTGTTTCTCAATTACCAGGGCTACAGTAATTATGTTAAGCCATTTTGAATAGATCTTCCTGACAGTCAACATCCAAATTAGCATCTTTGTTCCATATTAAATCTCATGAGACTCTTACTTAATCTGACTTTCTACAAAGGGTTATGGGAATTGAAAATGAATTTAAGGCATTAAAGCCAACTTCTATGTTTTTTTTATTATTAATTAAATAATACTTAACTTTAATGGTTGTTGTTTTCCTTCTCTGAAATTTCGTAGTACATTTGTACAGAGTGCATCTCATGATTTCTGATATTGTTTAGTATGGTCTTGAACTTTTAAAATCTTTCTCTAAATATATCCTTTATTCTTCCCAGTTACTTAACAATTTCTTCAACATAAAAATCATCTTATCTTACATTTCTTTTATATCCTCAGCATTTAATCATACTTTTTAAAAGTAAGTTCCATTAACAAATGAATGTTGAGGCAAAGTATAATAATTCACATCCCATAATTTAAAATGAACAATTTATTTGGAGGTAAAATAACTTAGAATGAATGCAGTTGACTTACGTAGAGCTTTTATTTTTTTAAAAAATAATAATACATTTAAACTTTCATCTTTACCCAGTTTTGTCTCTAAATTTCTGCTTGTGTTTGGGTCATCTCTTTTCTGTAATACAAAGCAGTCCAATCATATTAAATAAAATATACATTTTTTTCTTTTACATAATAGCGATAAAGCTAAATTAATTTATTAACTAAACTAATTATAATTGTACTCTGATAACTTTGATTTTTGGAAAAAGGTACTATTACATTTGAAAATATGATCTTTCAATTTGAAAACAGCTGTTGCATTTTATTTAATTCGTCAGCATCCAAACCAATGCTTATGGTTCAACATTTAACCCTTCATAATTGGTATAGAGCTGGTTTTGCAAACTTAAATGCCAGTTTACAACCTCTGGTATAGAGCTTAATTTATAATAGAGCTTAATTTATAAGAGTAAATTTGCTCTTTATCCAAATCTATCTTTGTTCTTTAATGAATCATATGCTTTTATGCAAAGTAATATGAATTTCTACAAATTATTGCCATATTTGAGCCTGAGATAAATATAATAAAATCAGATCTCTTGTTTTATTGTTTTATAGTTCCCATTCCTAATTATTATTTCTGAAGCTTGCATTATCGAGTCATTCTGTCTCCAAGTGTTATTTGCTGACATGTTTTTAGTATGAATGCTGTAGACAGTGAGCAATTGAAGGGTTCTATAGGCTAGACCTCATTCCCTGTGAGACTCAATGACTTATTTGTATAAGATATTCTGAAAAAGGTCTAAGAAGGGTCTTCATAACTGTTATAGTCATCTATATTTTCCATGAAAAATTAGACTATGATGACTCATCAAAATCTGTGTTTCCTGCTGCATCAGATTCTCTGAGCAGGAACTATTTTTTTTTTTCCTCTCTGTTATTATTTTGTATTTTGTTTGTCAGAATACTGAACACATATAGGTGAATAATATATGTTGTACTAATTCTGATTTTGTTTCTTTCTGTGACTTTAAATTGCATAGTGATATCAGGGAAAAATAAGCATCTATCTATTGAGGAGTATATATATGTACTGAGATTTTGTAAAGGCTGTTTCTGACTTATCTAGACCTATCTTCCATGCCTACAACTCCCCATCCTCAGTGATAACAGAATTTTTTTTCTCTTTCATTTCCTACAGTGGTCTGTGGAGGTTGTTTTTTCATCCTGTTTTATAAAGACTACAGATACTGTCTTGGCCTCCTCTTCTCCTAACTCTGAATGGCTAGAAACCTCCTTTCCAAATTCTGATCTTTGCTTGTCCCTCTGTCCAGGGCAGAAAAGACTACAACGAGGAGTATAAGAGAAATGCAATAATAACCCATTGTGATGACTCCCATCCTTCACCACAACCCTGGCACTGCACAGATATCCATGACCATTCCCCACATGTCATACCCATTCATTTTATGGTTACAGCACAGCCCATTCCCCATATTCAGTAGCCAGATTTTCAAATGCTATTTAATGAAGAAGAAAGATCAACTAGGCTATGATTGTAAGTTTTTCCCTAAATTAAGATTAACCTTATTCTGAATGCTAGTGTTTTTATAGCATCTAAATGTAAACATCAGTATTCCTTAGAACCAGGTCTGGAACTAACAAACAAAAGTCCAGTTGGACAGGATTGAAAAAACAAAACAAAAAAAAAAAACAGGCATAAAGATTGGCTATGGGTTGAAAAAGTGCAAAAAAAAATCAATTTATATATCATTAAATAGAATGCCAATTTTCATCATTTATTTTAGACTACTTAAGATTGATAATGTCTCCATTGTTTGTTATTTTTGCTTTGATATATTTTTGCTTTAGATTCCCCAGATGTAAGGGGGAAGAAAAGGGAAAAATTGAAGCTGTGATGAAAATATATTTTATTTTAAATCTGAAACAGGGTTTGTCAACAGTGCTACTATTGACATTTTAGACCAGACAGTTCTTTGATATAAAAGGCTATCTTGTGCACTGTAAGATATCTATATTCCTGGCCTCTACCAAGTAGATTCTGGTAGCACCTTCAGACCTTATGTGAAAACCAAAAATGTCTCTGCATATTGCCAAATATCTCTGGGGGTGCAAAATCACCCCTGGTAGGGAACTACTGAGAGAATATTCAGTTTAAAGAATAAGTAATGGTCATAAGAAGAAAACAGAGACTACTAGTCTTTGGGCAGCTGGCCAGGACTCAGCTATGCCTCCAAAGCTTCATAGTTCTTTGTCCTTAAACCTGATGAAGTCTTCTATCACGATCTCCCAGCATAGTGGCCACCAGTACCATAGAACTGAAAACGTTCTAACTAATTTTTAAACATGAAGTCTTTACCTTCATTTTTCTCTGCCTTCACACTGAATCCCTTTTATATCAAAACATATTTTGTTGCATCTTCAATTTGACATTGCAGCATTATAGTCAATAACTTGTTTTATCATAAAACTTCAAGGTTTAAGTTGTTAATTCATTCCCTGATGTTTTGTGCATAGTAGTAACTCAATGAAAGTATGCTAAAGGAATACTTGTTCGTATAAATGTTGTATTTTCAATTTTAAGCCAACTAATTTCAATTCTATATAACTGTTTTTCTGGCATTAAAATTAATTATCAGTGGAAAAATACTTTCAAACCCCTGATTGAAAAAAGAGTCAATGTAAAAAGTCCTGTGTTGAATTTTTCACTACTATTTCAGGGTGAATATGGAAAAGTACCTGAAAGTGAGGGTAACATATGTTTTTGAAAAGTTTCATTTAGCATATACATCCTCTTAAATTTATGAAGAAGATATTATTAAAAAGGTAAAACCTAAATAATGAAATAGTGGTAGAAGAATAATCAGGCATATACATACATTTTCAGTAAAACGTGCCTCATTAGTACAAGCTTAACCAAAATTACGGAGTTATAAGTCTGTTTTTGGCTTACCTTTGATCCAAAGTATATATGAATGATTTTTAAATTATCTCTTATTAGGTAAAGAATTATTTTGTATTGGTAGAATACATGCAAAAAAATTGACTAGTTGAAACTGCTAAAAAAATTATTGAGGGACAGGCTGGAAAATATTTTTAAAATAATATTGTTAACTAGTAGTAAGTTCAATAAGGTTGCTGAATAAGAATACTAAAAACATTCCACTCTTCTCTGTGTTAAATGATGAAAGAAGTAATTTTTATTGTTATTAATAACATTTATATAGCATAATTTTCACATTTCTCAAACTTCTTTTGCTCTTTGATATTTGCAGGAATGTGAGAAATATAAGTTAGACATGTGCATTGCAGTACTATAGTGAAGGGTACAGAGGATTAGAAAAAATGATTTGTCAGAATTCAGAATGTCTATTAGTGATAATTAAGATAAAAATCATAAATTTAAAATTTCAAGTCCAATTGTTCCTGCTATATATTCTTGCAGATATTTAGAAATGAATCTCATTGATGTTTCAGGGAAAAAAAGAATTTAAGGAATTAAATAAAAATGAATGTAGTAGCATTATGAACATTTTAAAATTTTCTTCTGTGTATATATTAATACTCTTCAAACATATTTTTTGATTACAAACAAGTTTAAAATAAACACAGGTGTGCTAAGCAACAAAACAAAATAAACCTTAGAGTATTTTTAATATTATCAACTTTAGTAAAGTGGTAAAAACACCATACAACTAAGAATGGTATATGCATGAGAAATGTCATAAATGTATACTGCATAATTATAGCTGTAGTATAACGTGTTTAGAATGTGTAATAAAATCTGTTGAAATAATGTTTCAAATTACCTTTAATTCATTTTTCAATAACTAAAACATAGTAAAAGATAATTGTGTAAAATAGTTATGTGTTAGTGAGAGTCATAGTTTAAAAATGACTAAAAGAACAATTTTTTCTTTTGTTAGGAACCATTCTCGAAATAGACGAATGAGTTCAAATCAAGTCCAAACACAACTATGATCTTACTCAACTTTTCAACACACATTTCATTGTAAAATTTCTCAAGTTTTATTGATTGTTGTGTATTTTAATCAGAACTGAAATGTGACATATCTACTTAGCGTTATGTAAGGCAGTATTTTAAATTTTTATTTATTCATTGCTTTTACGTGTTAAAGTGGACATCTTGCAACAAATTTGTTGCATCTTGCAACAAATTTCCTTGTTATAAGTGATGATCTAGATAACTGATTCAAATCTGTCTATGCATATCCTTTATTTAAGAAAATTTATGAATAATAAGATATTAGGGATACTAAGTACTATACTTTGATGCCATGGCCCAACTACATTCTGACTTATAAAATTTCATATCTGCTTGAAAATTGTAGGAATGAACAATTGTCAAATTAACCTAAAATTTCAAACTGAAAGTGGAGTGAATTAAATGTGACTGTGGTAGTTATTTTATCTTTATAAATGTACAACTTTTGATGCATTTACTCTATAATGAATCACAGAAGTAATACATTTTTAACCCAGGCAATCCTGATTTTATAACCAGTATTAAATAATTTTAACTAACCTATACTTGCAAACAACTATGATATTCTTATGTAGCCTTCCATCAGGACATCCACTGGTTGGTTACTTCCTCCCAGAATACCTAGTGAGGACCACTCCTGGGACCACCATCCATATCACCGTTACTATCTGCCTTCAATCTCTTGGTCCCAATTTCCTTAATTTTACAAACTCAAATACATGAGACTCTCTCAATACTTTATACCGATGTTCAAATGGAAGAATGATAGAGTTGAAGGAAAGCAAATTTACACTTAACCTAAAAGCATTCAAACTGATAGGTTGATAGATTATATGGTTTGATAGATTAGATTAGATAGGTTGATAGATTAGATTAGATCGTTTGCTAGATTATATAGCAGGGAAAAAAATAATTTTATAAAGAAAACTGCATTGAGTTCCAAACAAGTAATTTAAAAATAACTACAGTAATATAATCAGTTCATAAAAATTAGGAAATATTTGTAATATTTGTAGTCATAATGGTTATTGTAATTTATTTTCAGGGAATAGTTGTAGTTAGCATGTATTGCCAGATCTAGAAGGAACACTCCTACTTCCTAGCATTGGGACTTTAGGCAAGTTACTTATCCTCTCCTTCCTCAGTTCTCTCATTTGTAAAATTGGGATAATATTAGTAAAAACCATATACATAAGTTCTTAACTTTAGGGATACACAAAGCCAAGAAATGTCTAAAATAAAAATAACTTCATTGGATCGGAAATAGTATCAACAAACATATTTCCAATACACAGGAAAAAATTAAGATAAGCTATGAAAAACCTTGACTAAGAGCAGAGTATGGTAAGCTGAAGAAAATAATATTAATCAAATTGACAGGTTGTTTATAAATGAAACTAAAACACTGGGATAAGAACAGAAAATAGAATTGAATTATTGGGATATCAGATTTTATAAATTAAAAAACAGAATAAAGCTGTATGAGTTTTCAGTTTTTGTGTGACTACAGCATGTTATCTGGACAGTTTTAAGATCTACTGAAACGTTTATCTGCTCACCTCCAACACACACAAAAGCCAAGTAAAGCAAAGCCAAACAAAATAAGTATTTTTAGGCATGCAGTATATGTATACATTCTTATTTTGAAATGGCAATGCCCTCTTGCCTTAGAATTGGAGGTTATGTTTCTCAACTACTAGATTAGAATCCATTAGGTAAGAACTGTTTGTTACATTATATTACTTAACAAACCAAGTTATTTAGTCTAGGTTTGTATTTTTAACTTTCTGTTTTGTTTGTGTTTGTAGATGTCATTATTTCTACTAAATGGTAAATTTCCAAAGGTTTGAAAGGTAACATTTTATTTAGTCCCAGTTCTAGTGTTAAATTCTTTATACCAGATGACTAGGTTTGCATGGGGCTGTAACCAAATGGAAATAATTATTTCTATAAAGTGATGATTATTTAAGATTTCTAAATTGGTTTAATTTTGAAGAATATTTATTCTGTATTCTCTTGAATGCTGTCTTTTCAACTTTATGAAATGATGTTGAGGGTCATAAATATGTATCAGTCTAACATTTGGGTACCACCAGTGTAATACAGAACTTAGCACTAGAACTGACACTAAAAAATGTCCCTTTCTCAACCCTAGCTCTGTTTTTCACAATAAGCCAGAGACTCTGTCTTATAAATCATACATGTCTTTATATCATACAAGTTTCCCATGACAATGCCAGCCACTGAAGAGGTGCTCAGCAAATATTTGTCAAATGAATGAATAGAAACTCAGAGCCATATTATAAAATAAATAAGGTTTTCAAAATTATAAGTCTACTATAAAGTAGAGTCTAGACATAATGAAGCATATACTAGTTGTGGAAGACGTATTGCCTATATTCCACAATGAATGGCTATTACCTTTAAAAAATGTGTTCAGTCAAGTGACAGGAGTTTTGAATATTATTTGGTTTGAATGTTGTAAAAATATCTCAAAATATTTACAAATAGCTGACCTGAGAAAATACAAGGATATTTAGGGCAGACCTAAAAAAAATTAAAAAGAAAAAGTTTGCATCCAGTCAGATTGTAAGGTTATTAATAAAGGCACTCATTTTTTTCATATATAACAATTAATGTACATTATGCCCATTAGTGGCTAGTGCTACATTGTCCACATGAACTGAAAGCTAGCAGATCTCCAGGGGAAGCCCACAATAAATAAGACTTTGATCCTTCCAAAGCAGGAAGGATTCCAGTGGGAGTAGGGGTCATGGAATTATTGGGGCATTGCCAGGTACAACATTATTATTATTATGCTCTTTAAAAGTATTCTCTGCTTCCTGTTTCCCAGTCTTCTTCACAGCTCTAATGTAGGCCTGAAGAATTTATAGAACATGTGTCATCCTTAACTGCAGACCCAGAACCACTGGTTCCCAACCAGAAAAGAGAACAGGACAGAGGGACTGCTCTAAGAGAGACAACAGTAAGGGCTTTTGAATATAAGAAAGTTTTATCAGCTAAGGGAGATCCCAGGCCAGCCAAAAGCCTTTTATTACTACATCAGCTCAGGAATGAGATTGATTTTTCTTAAAGCACAGAAGGTAACAATTCCTGTACACTTCTCTCCACGGCTGGCCATTGAGAAGAGTCCTTCCTTGAACAATTGTGTGCTCTAATGGGGCACAGTGTGTCCACTACTATCAAAGGCTAACTTATGTTATAAAGTTATTCTTTAAAAAGTAGTTTATTTGTATCTAATTTAATCCACATGTCTAAATTATCAGATTTATGAACTTGTTTTTATAGTATAGTGGTTAGAATTGCAGACTCTGGAGCTAATTTTCTGGCTTGATTTTGAATCTTCACTGAACCACTTGTGTGATCTCAGGCAATTTACTAACAACCTCTGTGCTTCAATTTCTTTATCTGTAAAATGGGGATAAAATTATTACCTATCATCCAGAATTGTGACAACTAAATGACTTAATACATGCCATAGATTTGAACAGTGCCTGGAACATTTTCAGTATCTTACAATTGACAGTTTCTATCTTTAATTCTATTTATTGTTTTTTTAATTTTTATTTTAAATTATTATAGATATATAATAGTTGCATATTTTTAATAGGACCTTTTAGAGTTTAACTTTAAACACTAAAACATAACATAAAATTAAAGATGTCCTTTGTTTTAAAATAGATATTAGCATTATGTTATAAAGTTGATAATTATGACAACTATTTAATTTTGTTATTTTTACCATTATTTAAAAAGTTTATATTGAAATTAGTGGCAATTTAACATGCAGTAAGTGCATAGGGAATGGTTTACTGCTTTTCAAATTATTCTATTTACAGTAAGTAAACCAACTACATGGTGTAAAAAAAGTTTATATTAATTTTGAGGATTGTATATACATGATTAAAATATATCAAATTAAGGAATTATTCGGAGCTTACTTGTGCCATACAGGCATAACACAGACAGTAGTTAGTGTTAGTTATTTTGAGAACTTACTTGTTTTTGTTTAACATATATTTGTGTATTTTTTTTCTGCTAATTAGAATATGAAAATAACCTTATTATCCTAAAATCTAACCTACTGTCTTGCTGCTTAGAATTATTAAATGATGAATTTTAAACATTGTCAAAATATTGCATTTACTTCAAAATATATTATTCCATACTGAGTCATTAAATGCAAAGTATTTTATAAGAGAATCATAATAATCACTTTTTGAGTGGCTTTTTGAGTAATCACATATAAAATTTTACTTGCTACAATTAAATACTTAAATTTTACAGGGTACTCTCTGTTAAAAACTGGACATAATCTTTTATGTTACATGGTGTCATTTTTTCTTTCGCCTTTAGTAATCACTTTTTGAACTTACGGAGTCAGTGATCAAAGAATAATAATTAGCTCATTTAAAATAAAGATAATACCATAGAATTAGTCATTCTTGCTACTAAACCATAAATACTTTACATTCTAAATGTTTTAAAAGATTCTAGAAGCCAGGGAAATTTTCTTTGGTATGTGCTTCGTGGAGTCATATGCTTTGATGGTACTACATAAAGTGATAAATGATTTTGACTTAACTTTCATAACAAGCCAATTACTACTCAAAAAATCTTGTCACCATAAATCATATTGCAGTATAATTCATTTCACATCATTAATTTTTAGCATTCTTTTAAAGATATATTACAAAAGACACACTCAATTTGATCTATAGCCATAAAGGAAAATATGATCTTAAAAATTCTCCAATAGGTTTAGCCTAGAAATCATGGAATTTCCCCTGCTTTTTTTACTGCCTGTTTTTTTCCTCCAGAAAACTGAAAACTGTTTTTTCCCCCCACTATCCCTCTACACCACAGAGAAAAGTACTATTAAGCCCATATACACACATATCTATATACACATATATGTGTGTATATATATTTATATATTTATAAATGTGTGTGTATATATATATATATATATATATATATATGCTAACTCTGATCACTTTTTAATATCTGTACTGCTAAAACCTAGTTGAGGAAATCATCATCTTCCTCCTAGAATGCTGCAATAGGCTTCCTGCCTCTACTTTTTCCTTTTTTATAGTCTATTTCACAAAAGCCAGATATATGTAAAGCATAAGTTAGATTCTATGCCTCCTCTGCTTAAAACTTCCTAATAGCATTCCATTAAAATTAGAATAAAACACAAATGCCTTATCACGGACTGCAAAGGTTTGACTTTCTCCTCAACCTCCCTTGCCTGGTGTTTGATCTCTCCCTCCCATTGCCAGCAACTCCAAACTCCACTATCCTCAGCCTCTAACTACATTCACTGTCCTTAACTACATTATCCTGTCCTTATCCTTCTGTTCACTTTTTATGAAATTCATCTCTTCGATCTCTGATTACCTCTTTTCAACAATTTATGTCCCTATTCAAATGTAACTTCCTTAAGGTAGCCTCTCTTAAACACTCTAAAATAAAATAGACCACACCTCTTCCAAGTCCTTTTGTATCCCTTAATCCAGTTTCATTTTCTTTATAGAATTTACTACTATCTGGTATTATATCAGTTACATATTCACATCTATGTTCCTTTTTGTTTATGATTATATCCTTATTATATTCAGATATGTCTGGCACATAGTTGCTATGCAGTAAATATTTGTTCAATCAAAGAATGACTGTTTTGCATATTGAACTGTTTTTGACAATATGACTTTAGTATCATTCCACCCTACCTACATATGCTTCCATGCTCCATTTCTAGTCTGAAGACTTCAGCAAAATTAGTCTTATTCAACTTCCTCTTATTCATCTCTTCTTTGATTATTGTCTCAACTCTAGCAGTTATAACTGTGGTTATATTGTGTCTGACTTCTAAAAATAAAATAGCCTCAGTTATCTTTGATGGAAATTTACTCTTTCCAGAGAACACTAGGAAATAAAAAGGAAATTAAGATACTTTCTATGTTTTTTCCCCCTTGCTGTAAATCTTCTGCTTCTTATGTAATCTCAACACCAAAATGCCTCTCTTATGAATGGTAAAATCTAGAAAGGGTATTAATGTTAAACCATCCTTCTGAGTTTACAAAGGTGATGACAGAAATATAATGTGTTTTGTTTTTCTTTCAGATCTCCAACTAAAGACATGGATTCAGAAGAGAAGGAAATTGTGGTTTGGGTTTGCCAAGAAGAGAAGATTGTCTGTGGGTTAACCAAACGCACCACCTCTGCTGATGTCATCCAGGCTTTGCTTGAGGAACACGAGACTACATTTGGAGAGAAAAGATTTCTTCTGGGGAAGCCCAATGATTACTGTATCATAGAGAAGTGGAGAGGCTCAGAACGGGCTCTTCCCCCACTGACTAGAATCCTGAAGCTTTGGAAAGCATGGGGAGATGAGCAGCCCAATATGCAGTTTGTTTTGGTCAAAGCAGATGCTTTTCTTCCAGTTCCTTTGTGGCGAACAGCTGAAACCAAATTAGTGCAACACACAGAAAAACCGTGGGAGCTCAGCCCAGCAAATTACATGAAGACATTACCACCAGATAAACAAAAAAGAATAGTCAGAAAAACTTTCCGGAAACTGGCTAAAATTAAGCAGGACACAGTTTCCCATGATCGAGATAACATGGAGACATTAGTTCATCTGATAATTTCCCAGGACCATACAATTCATCAGCAGGTCAAGAGAATGAAAGAGCTGGATATGGAAATAGAAAAGTGTGAAGCTAAGTTCCACCTGGATCGGGTAGAAAATGATGGAGAGAATTATGTTCAGGATGCATATTTAATGCCCAGTCTCGGTGAAGTTGATCAAAAGCTAGACATGCAGTATGAAGAAAGCCAGATTCTGGAGGACTTGAACGAAAGTGATGGAATTGTACAGTTGGAAGAACGACTGAAATATTACCGAATGCTCATTGATAAGCTCTCTGCTGAAATAGAAAAAGAGGTAAAAAGTGTCTGCAGTGAAATAAATGAAGATGCAGAAGGGGCAGCTGCCAGTGAACTGGAAAGCTGTAATTTAGAAAGCGTTAAGTGTGATTTGGAGAAAAGCATGAAAGCCGGTTTGAAAATCCACTCTCATTTGAGTGGCATCCAGAAAGAGATTAAGTACAGTGACTCATTGCTTCAGATGAAAGCAAAAGAATATGAACTCCTGGCAAAGGAGTTCAACTCACTTCACGTTAGCAACAAAGATGGATCCCAGTCACAGGAAAACAGAGGGAAGGAATCTCAGGTTCCCAACAGCAGTGGGGAGATTCCTCCCTTTACTCAAAGAGAATTTAATGTGTATACAAACGACACAGACTCGGACACTGGTATCAGCTCCAACCACAGTCAGGACTCGGAAACAGCTGTAGGAGATACGGTGCTGTTGTCAACATAATATGAATGGCTTCTTTCTGACGTTTTTTAATGTTGTCCATGTTTTTTTTTTTTTTAATTTAATAGGAAACTTTATTTTAAATGTGACTCTCTGAAAAAGTGTAAAGCATGTTACAGTATTCAGTAGTTAATAAAAACTAGAGAAATTTGTTTGTTTTTGATGTAAGATTTCCAACAGGGCTTTAATTATTACAAGCTCAAACAATGAACTATTTATTAGGAATGCATTATAATAAATAGTTGTATAACACAGAAATAATCTGATGAGAATTATATGATAATCTCACAGCTTCTATGGAGAAGGACTTATATAAACTTAAAAACAATTCTCAATATTGGACGGTCAAAATATTCAAAGCACACATGAAGAAGTAAAATTAAAATGTGTTGCGATATCTTTTTTCAATACTGTATCATTAGAGTTTTTAAATCTGTAGAGTACATGACAACTACTGTGTTGTAACTATGTTAATCCAAATCTTAGTTCTTTTAATTGATCCTTAGATTGTCCAAAAGGTCATGCTTGTCACTTGCTGAACCCTTCTCCCTGTTTAAGCCCATGCAAAGGGCTGCTGTTGGGACATGTTATAAATACTGACAGGGAGTCAGAGGTATAGATGAGGCAGGGCCAAGTGCTGCATACAAACAGCAGTTTTTCTAAGAAGACTAAAATTATTAAGAGCTATGCATGAGCTTTGCTATCTGGCAATGCAGATCCTCTGATCAAATCAATATTCTGTGCAGGTTCATTCTTTGAGGGACAGTGTGGGTTACAGATAAAATCAGTGATTGTCTTGTTTATTTATGCCACATCTACAAAAGTTGCAGTGAGGAAATTTGAGGTCCTTTGTGTGGATTAGAGTTGTGTGTGCCCTAATTATTAGCATGGACTTTTATTCTGCTACCCTATAACTCAGATTGTCTTCTTAGTACTTCATCTAAGGTGCTTAATTAAAGAAGCTTAGTGCTTAAAAAAGTAGTAGAACCATCCCAAACATGCTAGGAAAAATCCAAATAATTGAATGAATTGTTTAGGTCATATCTTGACTGATAGTCATTATACTGACTGATGATGTTTGGTTTTGCTTGGTTTTTAATTAGGAATTTCCTTTCTCCTTTTTCCTTCTTTCCTTTCTTCTTTTCTGTCTGTCTGCCTTTCTTCCTCTTTTCCTACCTCCATGCCTTACTTCTCCCCCTCCCTCCTTTTCTTTACTTTTTTACCCATGAACTTATGATGCAATCATATTGAAAACAATTTTATCTTTTTATTGTGCTGTTAACTAAATATTGCTGCAGTTTATTTTTTTCTTTAGCTACACCTTTCTTGTATGTCAGTGCACGTGTAAGTTGAAATATTATTTTACTTTGTTTTGAGATGTGGATACTAGTTAAGATTTTCAGTATTTCTCATTTATTCCCTTTTATTATGCATACTGTAGTGCAGGTTTCAATGGATTTTTTTGACATTCAAAATTTGAAAGGTATTTAATTTTTAAAACCAACTTCTTAGCTGATCTTCCTTAATCTATTCTTTCTTAAATTTTCTTAACTTATTCTTTTATTCCTCCATCCTCAGTCTTTTCACCCATTTTTGGAAAGATATTTAGAATGTCATTAGTGTTTCACTTTGGGAGAGCATTTATGTTTTCATTTCTTCCACCAAGACATTTGCAGGCCAAATTGGAATTTGGCTGGTAAAAAAAGTAGGAATTTGTGTGGAAGTACAGTTACCAAGAGTAATAATGCTAACATGGCTTATACTTTTTCAAAAAGAAGGAATTGAATCTGTGAAAGGAAGTTCACCTGCCTAATAGCCCATAAAATCATTCAACAATATAGTAAGCTATTGACATACTCATTGTTCACTAATGGGGATTAAATTCAGAAGATCAAGATAAATGATAAACTAATTATAATGTTATTTTCCTAAAGCAAAGTAATCTCTTTGGATTACTCTTATCTTTAGCATGAAAACAATGAAAAGAGCATTGCTTATCCATTGGACTAATTATCTGAATTCAAAAAAGGTTTTGATAGAAATAGGACTGGAGAGATCATATCATTTTAGAAATTTTGAATTAAGTTTAGCTTTTGTACAGTTAAACACATTGATACATCTTAAAGGTATATTCTTCTGTATCTTAGAGTAAATAATGTTTAAAACTCTTGGTAGATAGCAAGATCATTGGTTTTTAAATTTATTTTGGAATTTCTATTTGCTCTTCAGTTGTATAAATGTATTTGCGCTTTTGATCATTGCATTCTTTAAGATTAAATTCCTTCACCAGTTACCATGGTAAATCTAATAGTTATATGTTAATACAAATAGAAATACTAAAATACACTGCCTGCATGTCTGTATACTGAGCTATTTGTTATTAAATTAAGTGACAATTAGAGTTAAAATATAAGATTTCATAGAAAGTTTAATGTTTTACTACCTAGAGAAACTTTAAAATATTTATAAATGCTTGAGTAACCTGACAGATTAACTATGAAACTGCCACATGCAGCTAAATGAAGCAAACCAAAGGCAACTATTCTTCATTTCTGTAACAAGACGTGAGTTCTTCCTTGTTCATCCTTCCACATGGAATTCCTCTTTATTTCATCTGCCATACATTGAAACCCTATCTTTTTTTCACAATCTTTTTAATGTGCTAGCTCTTTTGTTTGTGTTCCATTCAATCAATTATAATCTTTTATCTCTGAATCCACAAATAGTTTAGATACTTCTCATAGAGAAGCATTTACATTGTGGCTTAGTTTATATTTATTTATGTACTTATCCAACTTCCCTCTCTCAATGGATTCTTATCATATTACTTTATCAACTATCTTATTAACCTTACTCATTCCTATCAAGTTCTTTGCCCCTCTACTCAATTTTTGAATTGAATTACTAAATTTTAGAGGTTTGCAGCTTTGCGTGTGTATTTTTATACATGGTAAATGATGCTTGTGCATTTTGTACATGATTAGGCATTTTAGCAGACTTAAGACATCAGTAATTGTTTTGGGGGAGGCACTAATATTACTATGAATTTTTTCATGTGGCATCACTTTTTAATTTTATTTGTAATTCACAGAATTATGGATTTCAAGCAACACAAATATTATTTTTATTAGCCAATTTAATGGTTAAATTGTAGAATTTTTCTCTGAATTGTGTGCTTACAAGAAAAAAATATATTTTAGAGTTGGGTTTTAAGTGGTAGACACTCAAAATAACTTAGAAATATCCTCAATAAAATATCTATTTTATTTTTCTTCTTCAGTAAAATAATAAATGACCCCTCATCAGTGTGTAGAAGTTAATCTAATCCATTAAACATTTATTTTTATATTTATTTAAACATCTATATGTGACAAAATATATCTCTGTGGCTGCATTTTATAATTTTTCAAAGTAGGATTATTGTTCAATTGAAAACATTTTTCTAGTGACAAATACTTTTTAATTATGATATAGAGCTCTTAAATATTTAGGCTATTTTTTCATACTTCTTGATTGGTTTGATAAACCTGATGTGACAACTATAAAGTATATATCATTTCTTCAAGTTGTAACTGGTCCCAAATAATAAAAGCAATAATTGTACCTTTCATGTGATATTGTTTTTCTGGGTGTGTTACTTGGCTATATTAAAAATAAGTTTTATATTAGTTAGAATTATATAATTGCTAAGCTAACTCACAACTTATTTTAAGATCACTTATTATTACATGACAATATAAATGTATAGCAAGATCTAACAAAACTTTTTATTAGGTTTCATACATATTTGTTCCAATTTTTTGTGGAAGAATTCCCTAACTTTTATAATGAAGAGCTGATTTTATGTTATGGTGTCTTGCTTTCTAGAATGAAATCACTCTAATGTAAAAATATCAGGGTTGGAAATCCTCGTTGAGGGAATAGTTGAGGAAAATTTCCCTGGCCTTAGTAGAAGTCTAAATATCCACGTACAGGACGCTCAAAGGACTCCTGGGAGATTCATCGCAAAGAGGCAAACCTCAGGACACATAGTCATCAGACTGAACAAAGTAAACATAAAAAAGGCATAAGCTGTAAGGTGAAAGCATCAGCGTCTCACTATGTCGCTCAGGCTGGCCTGGAACTGCTGGGCTCAAGTGATTTTCCTGCATAGCTGAGACTACAGACACATGTCATTGTTCCCAGGACTATTTGATTTTAAGATAATAAAACAAAGTAAACATCATTATTAAAGAGCACCCTACTTTATCCACTTAGTAAAATAAGTTTCAGCAGAATCCCTGAAAGTATTATGAGTTAAAAAAGAAAAATCATGCGATGGTCATGTCCCCCTCACAAAAAAAAAAAAAAAAAAAAATCAGACAATGATCAAAGAGAAAAGCAAAAATCTAGTTGTCATACCTACTAAATATGTTCATAATGACTCTGCTCTGTAAGTATCATAGTGCTGGGAATTTAATATTTTGTTCTTATGTTCTTGATATCATTAGAATTTGTGCATTTTTATTATGTGCCACTCATTCATATTATTGAAGAACTTTCCATTTGAAAATAAAATGAATGAAAAAGCCTTCTCTGATAAGTATTCCCCTGATTTACTTATGGAGATTGGTATAACACATTGGAAAGTAATTTGGAAATACTAACATAGATCAGCAATTCTTCAAAGCTTTCAATTAGTACTCCTATAGCTCATAATGAATAGCAAGAAAATAGTCCAAAACTTGTGAAAACATATGCATGAAGGTATTGGGCTTAGCCTTATGTATACTAGCAAGTTAAAAGCCCAATTAACAGAAGAAGAGTTAGGTAAGTTCTGGGGTGTTATTTAAGTACAAATTATTAAAAAGTGTAAATATTATTAATAATATTGACAGTTGTAAGACCATACAATAGTAAAGTCTAATTTAAAATAAATTAATTTTATTAATTAATAAAAAATAAATCAATTAATTTGTATATAAACTAGCTATCTTAAAAAAAATTAAAACCTGAGTACCAAAAGGCAAATACATATGAAAATGGAAATGCAAAGTTTTTGCTACCAGTTTCATATTAAAATAATGATTTGGGCCATTACATATTTCTTTTTACCATAAACATATTTCAAGATACAGACTTGTTATAATTTAAAAATATTAATAATGTTTCCTATATATGATATTCTTCTGAGCTCATTAGAGGTTTTCATAAACTTCAAACAGCTAAAGAGTGATGATTAATGACAAGATCAATTAACTGGAACTGGAAAGCTGAATGCTGTAAACAAACTATTTTAATCCCAGGATGTCAATATTCTTACCTATAAAATAATTTAAAAGAAAAAAAGGAAAAATTTTAAAAATTAAACTAGATAATCCTTTAAGTCCTTTTCAGCTTAGTTAAATTATGTAAGATAACACATTCAATGGGTTTGGTATGAGCACAACAAATATAGTTGTTTGCTTGTTTATGGCTCTATTCTTTCTATTTTATCCTTGGTAGAGCCTAAACAAGGTTAAATTTAGGTAGAATACTAACTGAAAAAGGAGGAAGTTAAAATTCAAACCTCTGCTTCTCTCAATGTTTTTACTCTTATCTCTC